TAGGTATACAACCAGAATTACGCAAACCCTATCGGGGATGTGAGCTCACAAAAAGTTTCCTTGGTGTTTTTAGTAGCATTTGTGAGTAGATAGCCGTGAATAAGAGAAGATGAAGTGACGAAATTAGTCCTTTCTAGCCCTGAGTAACTGATTTACACTTTAAAAGCTTCTGATACGGATATTTTTTTTGTCTTGCAGTTGTGCCCCAGAACCGACAGTTACTTCCCTTGGTGTCCGATGTCGTTGACAACACAGTGTTTTTACCCCTCCCCCCTGGGAACACCTACTCACTTTTGGCTTTAGCTGTTGATCACGTGGGTAACAGACAACTGATGGAGTGGAATCGCGCAATCGCAGTGGACTTCTCATTGCCAACACGTGGGTCCCATGCAGTCAAACATTGTTCATTATAATCAACAAAATAACGCACATTTAACATCTTCAGTTTTTAGCCATAAAATCTTGCAAGCCTGGTAGAGAGTCATGTAACTTAATATATTTGGTTGGTACAGTTAACAGTCGAATAGTTACATGTGATATTTTTTGCGCTTGTTTACCACCTCGCTGGTTTTTTGTCTATCGTACATTGTTCCGTTAACTTTTTTTTCAAAATTTTTCACAATATTTCGCAACTTATGTATTAAATCCCAATCAACATGTTATCCTTTGACCTCCTTCCCACTCGTCAACTTCAGTTTAGACTTGCGGCTATCTACGTGTTTATTCAGGAGAACACACCAAGTCAATCCACTACTATTCACGATGACAATTAATTTTTTTCGTTTTCACCGCAGCATCGTGTGAACGGCTAAATAACTGCTCCGGCCGTGGAAACTGTACTGATTTGAATTTCTGTGTTTGTAAAAGTGGATCTTATGGCTTTAATTGCTCACTTGGTGAGTATTTTCGAGCAGAAAGCGTTGGAACGAGATAGTTTGTTGAATATGATATGAATGAAGTTATTGATGCTTTCATTCACTGGTTAACATTTGTTTTTGAATGATGATAATTATAACGATTACAATAGTAATAATTATGAGAGCTTAATAGACTAAATCCATTATCTTATAATGCCACTTAGTTCATACAATGATTTTAATCATGTTATAAATTCATTTGCAGATTTTCCTCTACGATTTGAGCCCCCGATAATCAATGCCATGTACAGTGACACAATTGAGGACGTGCCCGCTCAGTTATATCTCTCCGCTTTTGTTCCGGATTTTGAGAATAACAGCTACACTAAAAATTTCACCCTGAAACTCATAATCCATGAAATTTCCGAAGGAATGGCTTTTAGTAAAGGAAACAGGAGCGGCGATCGTATTGTGTTAGAGCCTTCAGATTTTGGCGATATATGGATGATACCCCAGAAAGATTTCTCAGGACTCGCGAGGTTTAACATTACGGCAATAGTCTCCACCCCAATAGAAACTAAAGCGGTCTCTAGACATATTGAAATAAACATCACAGCCGTTGCAGATGTTCCATTTCTTAATGTCAGTGTGCCGTGTCACCATTGGAACAGCAGTGAAAAGCTTATTCCAGTGTTCCTAGAAGCCCATCTGAATGACCAAGATGGATCAGAAAATCTAGCAATCGTCTTTTCGGGTTTACCAACGGGCTATCGATTGGTTCACGTGAATGGCACGAGCTTGGTGAACAGAAGTAATACAAGAGCCCCCCAAGACGCGCCCCGTCTGTTTATTTCAATAAACGAGACTTTAAAACCATTCGTGCTAAGAGTAATTGCCACGGCAGCGGAAAGATTCAATGGAGACCAAGCAAACCAAACAGCTGATGTTAATGTTACATTCTGTGGTAAGTCTTGTGACATCGAGATTTGGTTACAAAACCGTCAAAGCGTAGTCTTGTTCACGGTGATTTCCACGGTAATTGTATGACTGTGGTTTAAGGACCTTTAATCATTCGGGGATCGGGCCTTGAATGGAGTCCCTTTTCTGAGTTATTGGATAAAGGACAGGCATTCAGAAAATCGAGTTGGTAGGAGTAAACGAAGAAAATTTGGGCATACTCGTTGGTTCATGCTGACGGCAAAGTCAAAAGTTGAGCTTTTTGGAAGAAAACAGCCCTAAGCAGAGAATAGTCTTGCTCACAGTGATTTCCATGTATGACTGGGGGTTAATGACCTTTAATTATTCGGGGATTGGGCCCTGACTAGAGTCCCTCTTTTGAGTTATTGAATGAAGGACAGGAATTCAGAAAATCGAGTTGGTAGGGGTAAACGAAGGAAATTTGGGCATACGATCTGGGATTCGTTGGTTCATGCGGACGGCAAAGTCAAGAGTTGAGCTTTTTTAAAAGAAAACAGCTATAAGCAGAGTCAAAGCAAACTAGTTATACGCAGACTGGAAACAGTTTGGTTGTGGTTACTCCAATCCTTGTTTCCTTGCAGCAAACTTCACTTGCTACAATTGCACCCGTTTTATTTGGGTTTGGCTCTCGTCGACTTGAGCTACAGGCGCTGTTCTATTTCCTTCACACTAAGATTTCTTTTCACCCAACCGTTCATCTGCCTCGCTCGTAGCTAACTTTATTTGTTCGCCTGTTCTCCAATCTTCTCCTTGCAGATAGAAATCTCAAAGATATCCTCATGGCTTGAAGTCGCCTTAAGAACTTTTCTTACTTTTTAGCTCTTGAAAAATTAAGGACCCAACATGTTTTTGTTGTTTCAGTGACTTGTGAGGCAGTGAACAACTGTTCCAAGCATGGAAGTTGTATAGAAGTAAATACCTGTGATTGTGATAGTGGATTCAAAGGATCTCTTGATTGCTCAACAGGTTTGTTTCCTACTTCAGTTTGTTCAGGGTTACTTTCTCTCCCTTTCCTTTCCTCCTTTCTTTTGCAAGATCATTTCATTGCATCATGTCTTACCTCTCTTCCCTTTTTATCTTATCTTTACAGTTTCCTGTGAAGAAGTAAATAGTTGCACCGGAAGAGGAAACTGTACCGGCCCTAATTTTTGTACCTGTGAAGATGGATACAAAAGTGTCGGGTGCTCACAAGGTAACTGACATTTTATTTTCTTAATTAGTGAAAAGTTTATAAATACCAATTTTGATTAGACGTTATCTAAAGGTTAATTAAATCCCAGAATGTTTCCCACACTTCTTGGCCCTCTAAAAAGTAAAGCATACATCTTCTCAATGAAAAAGGCTTCATTAATCTCTAATTTTCAGAGTAAAAATAAGTCCAGAAAAAATCGCGTAATTCTTTGATTAACCGCCTTCTACAATCTGGAACAAGTGAAATGAATTGTCAAATTGTAGTTTTAACCTGTGCGTAAATGCTAAAACGCACAAACGCTGTCCGTTTCCGTGCCCGAAGACACTGTTGCGTAGGTACTCTTCCCCTTGGGGTGTGCCGTTATTTTGTAGGAGAAGGGGGTAGGGGGGATTTTACGAACCTTTGAATCTTAGTTATTATAACTCGCATATCATATGCTGTGTTTCAAAATTATCATTCCTCGTCCTTTCTATGGATGCATCTTTAACAAATCTTTTCTTTGTATTTTCGTTTTCGTTTAAGCAACCTGTGAACTTCGAGATCACTGTTCTTATCGTGGTGACTGTATAGGACCTAATGTTTGTTCATGCTACGTCGGTTCCCAAGGATTGAACTGCTCTGGAGGTAAGATAAATGTGAAACGTTCAAATTTACTTTTCCTCTGTCGCCCCACGATGAAACGGTTAAACGGGTTTACCAGGTAAGAAGAAGGGGATCGGTTTCAGTATCTGAGTAACTGCGCACTTAGGGTACCACTCCCATAATCCAATGACAGTCAACAGCTATCAAGTTAGGGTTAATGTTGGGTTGAGGGAGGGGTGGGTACGTAGTTGCTCAGATAATGATATAGGTCTGAAAAAGGCATTAGTTATCATCGTTACAATTTTTACAACTGATCAATTATCTATTTTGCGTTTTAACACAGTGAACTGTAAATTAGTGAACAACTGTTCAAATCATGGCACCTGCACCGGACCCAACCAATGCACGTGTGAAGAGACCCACCAGTCACCTGATTGTTCAATAGGTGAGAAAATGGATCCGAGAAAAATAAGTATGCCCTGCTTCGCGTTGACTCCAGGAAACATTTATTGTTGTCATTACCATCATTTTTTTCGTTATTTTCGTTGTATTTTTGTCAATGGAGTGAAGGTTAAAAATATTGTTATCTTGAAAGTTGTCTTTACATTATTTTTATCGTCTTGGCTATTGTTATTATTATATATTTCACATTTTCACGCTAAATTTTCGTCTTTTTTATCGTCCTTATAATCATTACCATCGTTATTACAGAATTTTTGTGGTGAGATGTCATCATCGTTAAGATTCTCTCTAAAATTGATTTCACT